TGCAAAGTTGTCTGCGCATGTATGCTTGCTGATATGTGCTACGAAAGTACTTACGTGCAAGTGGCCATGTGTCTGCGTGCAACCACGCATGAATGGGGAACGTGCGACGGGTTGGTGAGTGGGGGAAGTGGTTAAGCTTAACCCCCATTATCCCACTGCTAGATTCAGTCTGGATCGTTTTGGGACAAGTCTGGATCTGCCCATTTGGGCTAGCCTGGACGGCTTAGCGTGTTCCGCGATACGTCTGGAGGGTTCTGGGGATGGGCTTGGGCTTGGACAGGCCCCATTCTAGGAGTTATTGAGGAAGGCGTGGATAATTTCGGAGGGCTTTGGGATAAGGCTGTTCTGGGTAAGTTTGGATGCTGCTTCCCCAACCCGCCCTGCCCACCCAACCCTGGTGGCATCCTTGATGTCTGTACCTGCTTGAGGTTTTTGTGTGGTACATAGATACATCCATACATACATGTGCATGTACGGCGCATGCTCCTGTGTTAGCTTCGGTACCCAAGCCTTCATAGATACATCCTGATCTGCTGCCGGTTGACTGCTCAACATGTTCTTCCATGTGTCTGCATTCATGTAGACACAGAAATACATCTATCGATGTAGTCAAGATGTTCAGACAGAACCGGAACGCAATAGACTGGAACACAACACAGAGGCACTGAACAGAACAGAACGTCAAGCGGTAATACAGTCCAGCAATATCGGAACACACGCAAAATCCAGCACGACACAGAATGCGTGCAGCATGCTTGAGACCGACGTTCTACATCATCTCCATCAATGCCCGTGGTCTCAAGCCCCCATGCCCGAAGGTCTCGCCAAAGACCGCCAGCGAAGAGGTGAAGATGAACTTGGCGGGTGCTGCGCCTGCGAAAGCTGGGCTTCGATGAAATAAAACGAATACCGAGCAAGAAGCATAAACCCTAAACCCTAAACCCAATGCTTTCTACTGGCAAGTTTTCGACAAAGCGAATGATTTGTCTCCACTACGTTCTCGATTTCAACCTGCGACTTGAGAAGCAGATGGCCTCCCTGTGTCCGTGCCCTGCATGCATCCAGGAGGTGCCTCGAGCGTGGCTTCAACGCTAAGAAACCCTAAACCCTAAACCCTGAAACCCTAAACCCTAAAACCTCTACAGCCCTGAGAAAAGCTTAGGGCGCAGGGGGGGCTGGGGGCTTTTGGGCTCCGGGTTCGGGCGCTTCGAGACGAGAATTCCGCCGAAGCTCTGTGACCCCAGCTTTCATCATAGTAATCATAGCAATTATAGTAATCATACTAATAATAGAAGGACTTTAGACTTGCAAAATCCCATTCGAAGCATCAGGCCTGAAATTTGCGAAGAGCTATACAGGCAAGAGATTGGTTTGAGGCTTTAGAGTTTTAGGGTGGATACACACTATACCCCAAACCGAAAAACCCTTTACCCGAAACCCCAAACCTTAGTGAAAAGAGCCGTGTCGGCCTGGTACCGTCTAGGTTCACACGGAGGCCAAGGTCGAAGTCCTTCTCTGCCGCGCCGCTCATGACCTGAACATGTAGGGGCCCTGGGGGTCTTTCGCTTTCCGCGGTTTCAGGCTTAGTGCTCGGGCTTCAGCTCGCAGGGCTGAACCCTAAGCCCTAAAAGGGTTTAGGTTTAGGGAAAAATCCTAAACCCTAAACCCCAAACCCTGAACCCCAAGGCTCTCAGACTTCAGGTCCCAAGGCATGACTCCGGCCATCGCAGCCACGTGGCACCGGCAAGATGGAAGAGTGACAGTTCGTGGGCGGTCGGTACCTGTGGAGCTCACTGCATAAGGTTGGAGGGTCTGGCGGTTTAGGGTTTAGGGTTTGACAGGTCTGGATTTCGGCCTAGTGTAAGATTTGCTGGAATTTTGGAAGTATGCAAGTTTGACGTTGCTGTTCGTAGGGCCCTTCGAAACCAGGGTTTTTTTGAAGAGCGCCGATGAAAGGCAAAATGCTCACAACCTCCACACCATAAGATCGCAATGCTATCACAACGCAAAGGCTTCTCCCTCAGCGTCTGCTCTCAGAACCCCTGGGCCTTGCCGACCAGCGCGCAGCATTGAGTCGGGTAGGTGATGTCCGTGCTCTCCAGCTGGACCTGACAAAAAAAGCGGCTCATCCGCTTGGCCGGAGGCTACATATTTCCACGAAACGTCGCGGCCCAACCCTAAACCCCTAAACCCTAAACCTTGAACCCTAAACCCCTAAACCCCTGAACCCTGAACCCCTAAACCCCCGGGATCTCGGAAGGGCCTTCTCGTCAGCGTTGACACCGATACGGCCACTCGGAGCCATGGTGTCGACCAAGAGAATCCTCACAGGCTGGCTGATGGAATCGTTTAGGGTTTAGGGGTTCAGGGTTTAGGGTTTAGGGGTTTAAGGGTTTAGGGGTTCAGGGGTTTAGGGGTTTAGGGGTTTAGGGGTTTAGGGGTTTAGGGGTTTAGGGGTTTAGGGGTTTAGGGGTTTAGGGGTTTAGGGGTTTAGGGTTTAGGGGTTTAGGGGTTTAGGGTTTAGGGGTTTAGGGGGGTTCAAGGGTTTAGTGGTTTAGGGGTTTAGGGCTTGTGTAGGGCTTAGGGACACAAGCCACATCCCGTGTGCTTCGTTCAATTGCGAGTAGGCCATCAAGCCATGTGCCATCAACTTTCAGTACAAGCCCTCAAGCCTACACCACTATCACCGCTTGCGATTCCCAACTGACAATGTTGGTAGGTCGGTCTCGGGGTCGAAATGTCGAATCCAAGCTTGCGAGAAAAAAAACATATCTATCTCTGCTGTCGAGTAGCTTCTTGACCTCCAGCTTCTTGCCATGAGAGCCCAGTAAGCCATCTGCCTTTAGTAGTGACCTGTCAGAAACGGAGCTTCAACCCGGCACTGAAGCCACAATCTCAGATTCGTCGGGGCGGAGGGGGTGAAAGTCTCAGCCAGTCTTTGCGCGTCATCCGCAAAGCCAGTCTGCTTCGGGAGACTTGGGTACCGAACTTGGGCTTCCGACGAGACTCTTCGACGCAATGGCTTGCGACTGCGGGTTGTTGGTTTTGTGGTGGATCTATGTCTGCAGTCAATGAAGGTAATGATGTGAAGAATTCCTTACCCGTGGATTGTATCCGAAGTTTCTGATGTAGAGGGCTGGTTAAAAATTTTGTGATTACATAATATAACACAACATATTATACTTCAAGTGACTATATTATACAACATACAACATAATATAATGCCATATCATAAACTACGATACAATGAAACATAATACAATATAACACAATGTAATATAGTATAGTCTAACATACACACGCATGTGTGCAAATATCTGGTAGGTAGGTAGATAGATAGATTTATTTCAAGTTGTTCCTATTTCGTCATGCATTTACCCTAAACCCTAAACCCTGAACCCCTAGACTCTGAACCCGAGACCCCCAAACCCCTTAAATCTTCTGGCTAAGGATCCAGGCGTCGCTCTCGCTCGGATTGTCTGCTGACTGCTTGCATAAACCCCTAAACCCCTAAACCCTAAACCCCTAAACCCTAAACCCCTAAACCCCTAAACCCTAAACCCCTAAACCCTAAACCCCTAAACCCCTAAACCCCTAAACCCACCCCTAAACCCCTAAACATCAACCTTGTTTGTTTATTTAAGCCAGAGCCTGCAGAGCTCCTGTCCCAGGAAGCCCTGGCCGCCTCGCGACGTTTGGCTTTCAGGCGCTTTTGGAAAGGATGAAATTAAAGAAAAAGGAAGGGCTGAGGGATTTGGTTTAGGGCTTAAGGTGTAGGGTTTAGGGTTTGGGGGTTTAGTGTTTAGGGTTTGGGTTTAGGGTCTAGGGTGCAGAGTGTAGGGTTTAGGGAGGCGTTAAAGGGTGTTAGGTGTGGAGTTTATGGATTTGGGTTCTGGAGGCTTCTTAGGATCCGGGCTCACTTATGAGGGATCCTTAGAATGAGGATCGCTCCATTCGGAGGAGTCTCCTCTCTCGCCTCTTCTTGTGTGCAGCTACTGTCGGGGTTCCAGGTTTAGGGCTTGAGGCTGGGTTTAGGGTTTAGGGTTTAGGGTTTAGGGTTTAGGGTTTAGGGTTTAGGGTTCCAGGTTTAGGGCTTGAGGCTGGGGGTGTAATGCCAAAGGCTGAAGGTTCGGGCGCAGGACAGATGGTCTTTGGCAGAAGTGGAGGAACGTGGGCTGAATTTATGGTAAACCCTGCACCCCAAACCGTAAACCCCAAACTCTAAACCCTAAACCCTAAACCCTCAACCCTAAACCCTAAAGCGGTTGAGCTATGCCAGGTCTCGGCACTCGAAGATCTGCTGCCTCCCTTGCATCTCTCAGTCTCCTCCTGAGGGTCACTGAAAGCCCAGGCCTGTGATGATGACTTCCATGCTACGTTTAGGGTTTAGGGTTTAGGGGTTTAGGGTTTAGGGATGGTCCATTCCACTACACGGCCTAAGAGCTAAAGTACGCCAAGACGCCCCTGCTTAGGTAAAGGATCACGGCACTCAGTCACGAGGGCTATAAGTAAGGTGACTCATACTGTCATACAGTAACCACTTATAATCCCGATTAAGGTGCGCATGACATTGATTACGAATTTTCACCATCCTGATGTTGGCATTTCGGGATCAAGGTTCTACGAATCACGGATTCCCATGTCAATGTGAAGTTTCGGCTGCTTGAGCCGGGCATCTGCGGAGACATGTCTGGTGCCCTACAACCATAGTCAGGAAGTGATATCTGGTGCAAGGATAAACAAGAACAGCAATAGGAAAACATGAGCTATTTTGTGCATTCGTATTTTTGACAGCATCTCTACTGGTATTACTATGACCGTTCCTCGTGATATACATATCGCAAGTGCGGGTGCTCTTTTTCTTGTTTTGTGTGATAATAGTAGCAGCAGCATACTTCCTGTCAGTCCAAAACATGGCAACTTCAGCAGAGTGCAGCAAAGCGCAGGGCTTTTCAAAAGCAAAAGGGGCAGTCACCTCAGGGAATCGTGAAACTTGCAAATCAGCAAGTCACCATCAGCCCCCCATCTGCCTCACCTCGGCTACGGGTCAGGATCAGGATTTTGGCTGCAAAGGTGCGAAGATGAATGAGGAGTAGGCCTAAGGTTCAGAGGTTTATTTTAGGGTTCAAGGTTTAGTGGTACCACAAAGCACATTTTGACTTGAGCCGCTTTGGATCTTATGGATCTGTTTGCATGCAAAGCTTGGACTGGGTGCTCTTTCTTTTGGTAAAAGTTGAAAATGCACCGTAGGCCGTCTCGCCACCAATGTCAGCCTGGCCACTGATGTCCAAGCGCTTCCCTTCAAAGGCCTTCACCTGCTTGGGACTCTGCAGACTGTGCACTACACTGGGTACGAGCAACCTCCATTATCAAGAGATCTCACTGGCATCAGGGTTAAACAGTGGAAACTGTATATTACATATTACATCTTACATTACATAATATTATAATATGCTACATATTCTATGCTATATGCTAACATTATATACTGTACGTTACGCAGTATATGTCATATACATTATATCGGTGCATGTGTGCCTGTTCGAAGCTTTTTTGGCCGATGGAATGTATTTTCAAGTCGTCCGGCCTTCGCGTTGGGCGTGCCGAAGTAGACTTCGAAGGGCTTCCTACCTGCAACTGAAGCACCATACTGTAAGAACATAGAAAATTAGAGTATCTGGCAAATAAAATATAGAAGAATATGGAAAGGCACAGTACCGTGCAAGCTAGCCTAATACAACAAAAAGAAATTTACATGCGTACGTATATTTGTAGTAAAGCCTATATAGTACATATCACACAGTATATAACATATGGCATGTAACATGTAACATGGAACATCTAATATGTAACATATTATATGATATATGTTGAAAACGTTAAATATGGTGCAAAAGAAAAACAATACATCATACATAACATTCATGATACATAATATGTGATATACCATGTATGCTATATACTATACGATATGTCGTGCATAATATACAAAATAGGTGTGTGCATATATATATATATATATATGCATGCTTTATACAGTACGATGTATTTTACATTTACATAAAACACATAACATACAACATATACTTGCATATGTACAATGCATATGATGCACAAAATAACACGAAGTACGACGGCATCACTTCGGATCAGTCTCCAGCATGGTTTGTTTTATACTGCAGCCTGAAGAAGGCAGTAAGTCTCAGGCGGTTCGGCTTGACATATGGCTTGACGGGGTACATCGGCTCGGCGCACTCCCTCCTCAGCTTCCGGGGAGTGGCACGGTGGGCTGCATTCCACGGCTCACTAAAGCTCTGTCACTTCTAAGCCAGCCTCCAAACCCCCAACTGCCGTTATGCGTTCAGCCCCAGTCGCGGCAGGAACATCTCGACCCCAGTAATCTCTGGCGGTGGCCGGAAGGTCACGTGACACTGCACCTCATCAGGGTCAGGATGTAACGACCTGGATGGCAGGCTTCAGTTCTGAACCTCAAGCCTGTATATTTCCACGTATTGCAGTCCACTATAGTAGATAAAAGTGTACAATATCGCATCCCGGCCCAACAGTCTCACATAGTCTCACCTTTCTGATCCCAACTCCTTGACTTGCAGGATTTTGGTCTCCATGCCGTAGTCTATCAGTCCGAGTTGCTTTGCAGTCGGGACTCTCGCTGCTGCCGGCACACTTGCTTTTTTCGCAACAAGGATGGGGCAACGGGTCCAACCCGAGCTCTTCCTGAGGCTTTCCCGGATTTGCATTCCGGAGAACCTTTAAGGGGAACCCTGTAGTATGTTATGGCGGTTACCATAGTCATAGTCTGGTATCGTAAACCATGTATAGTATAGGAGAGTATGGCATGGTATGGTATCCTGCCGCATAGTATAGTCATAGTACGGCATAGTAACGTATGGTATGGTCCAACATGGACAAGTAGAATTAGTATGGTACAACATGGTGTATTAATATGAACACCGGTACTAGTACCAGTACTACTATTCGTGTCAGGACAAGAATCAGCGTTAGCAATCGCTTTAGCATCAGTATTGGCATGAATACCAGTGTATTAGTATGGGTAAGGGTACTACTCCTGGTATTAGTGTTGAATAGAATTAGTCCTAGTATTGGTATTGGTATCAGCAAGGCATCAGTCATGGTATTGGCATGAACATAAGCCATAAGCGGTAGCACTAATGTGTACTAGTGCTAGCACTAGCATAGCACTAGTGTTAGCATCCGTTTTTGCGTATCAGCATTAGCACCAGGATTGGTATCACTACCACTATTAGCAGTAAGATCAAAGATGATGTGTAAGTATTAGCACTAGTATAGCTTAGTATAGCATAGGATGGGATGGAACAGTATAGTGCAGAATAGGATAGCATAGCAAAGGATGGGATAGGATAGTTTAGCATAGTAACGATAGGATAGTAAAAGAGAGCAAAGGACAGTAGAGGATAGTATAGGACAGCAAGTCGTAAGTAGCATTCAGTACAGTACAGTGTAGTGTGAGATGGTCTAGCCTGATATGGTACAGGGTATTACAGTACATTGTAATGCATAACAATCATAGTATAGTAATTTGCACTCCTAAACCCTGAATCCTAGCTTTAGGATGTTGTGGGATTCCTTCGACTTGGAGGCTGCGGGAGCTGCTTAGCTGGAAAGCACACCGGAGCGAGTTTAGGGCTCCACCAGGGTTTGGGTTCAAGGTTTTAGGGTTCCGGGGCGTACGGCTTATGGCCGAGGGTGTAGGGTTTAGGATTTGGCCTTTGGGGTTCAGGGTTGTAGGATTTCGGCTTCTAGGGCTTTGGGTTTAGGGTTCTAGGGTTTAGAGAGTTTAGGGCTAGGGCAGAGGGGTATGGGGTTTAGGGCTCCAGGCTGCAGGGTGGACAAATACGAAGAGGGCCACGCTAGCCCCATCTGCTCCCAAGCTCCATTTCGAAGCAGCGGACACACCGTCTGCAACAACACCACATCAGGGTAGTTGTGCAAACTATGGCCCCTTTTTGGGGTACCCTAAATTTTAGGTGCCGTATAAAAGATAAGGACCCAAAAAGGGACCATAATTTTGATAACCACCCATCAGCATTCGCCTATGACTCCTCGCAGAACTAGCCGTGGAGTCCATGCACCAATTGGGAACGCAAACACCTTAAAGTACTACTCAGCTCTGCATCCCTCGCAACCAGATCTGCCTGTGAGAACCCAAGAGTCATCCGTCGTGATTGACATCAGCAGCAAGGGAATAGATTCTAGATGCTGATCTAGAAACGCACTTGCACAACAACAATGCTCTCTGGAGCGCCGGGCGTCGGGCAAATCGTAAGCAAAGCCGTAGTTGCAAAGAAGCGTTTGCACTCGCTCCACCAGTTTCAGGGGGGACTCCACCGTCATGTTGTTCGTCGACCGAACTGCCTCAGCTGGGCGAACTGCCTCAGCTGTGCCAAACCTGCGATTACACCTTTGAACGCGCACCGCGCCCACTATACCCGTACTAACAGTGGTCCGGGGAACATAGCCACCAAAGCAGCCAAGGACGAGCAGCGTGGCACGCAGCATGGCGACAAATGAGCAAACAACAGTCTTTCAGCTTTCGAGCCAATCTACAGCTGCAGCAACACATCATGGTCCTTGGGGCAGTGAACCATAGGATTTAGAACCGGGGTTTTATTAGGATTTAGGAACCAAAATTTAGGATTCAGCCACATGGGCCGGAAAGCTCACAGCCACGACCCCTAGCTGTCACAGCACACTGTCGTAGCAGCAGCCCGGGAATCACAACAAAGAAGTCCCATCACATCTGCGGGCTCACCACATGGCTGGGACGAATATCTCGAGAGAAGCGGATGGCAAGCGAGCCCCGTGGCAAATCCATCGCGAAGCACCTGCGAAGGCAAAGTGGAAGACTTTTGTCTGGTTTAATGTAGGAGCCTCGAGAAGTAGAATAGGGGTTTAGGGCCCACTATACCATAGATATGATAAGGAACCCCAAAATAGTATTGGTAACTATTTAGGCCCCTAGATCATAGAGCCCTTAGAGTATCCCCTGTAGTAAACCTTACATAGAGCCCTTTAAAGGAACCACAGAAAAATAGTATAGGTAATTATCATAGGCCACTACTTGGAGGATCATGGGACTTAGTAAGTAAGGTTATAAGTACCCTAATTGGGGTTATAAGTAGCTACAAGTATAGTTAACCTAGTTATAACCCGAGTTAATAAGTCCCATGATCCTGTAAGTAGACCCTAAACCCTATAGAACCCTATAGATCCCTTTAAGGAGCCCCTAAAGATCCCCTTTAAAGGAGCCCCTAAAGTATATGAAGTGGTCGCCTCGAGGGGGCTCCCGTCTCCCAGGTCAGGACAACCTCTGGCGAATGGGATGCGGCGCCAAGAAACCTGAAGAGTCGACACATCTCAACTGGGGTCCTTAAAGGGGTTCCTTAAAGGGATCTATACGGGTTCTATAAAGGGTTTAGGGTTTGGAGTTTCCGAAAATTTGGGGTGCCGTATTCTGGAGTCCTTGTAATAGGGATCCTACTATTTCGGGTATTATATTAGGGTCCCCTATTTTCGGAAACTCCCGCATCTCAACTCCAAAGGAAGCTTCGGCTGAGCTCTCCTCGCGGTGACATTAGCTGCCAACATCCAGAGTGGGCTAGGTGCGCTTGCATTCTTACAGTGCCATTCGGAAAGTGTGCAAATGCGTCTTTGCACTTCACGTTAGGCGCATCGCAAGCTTGAGCGCCCCACGTTCTGGTCACGGGAACCAGTGTGGCAAGAACTCTGCCTTGTCGACACTCTAAGCGTCAGGAAGGCTAGCTACGACATCCACCTAGTCAGAACACAAAATGCAATGAGAATACAACTGTCCTCGATGGAGATCTGCATGGGGTGGGGCAAACATCGATGCTGGCGAGAGTACAGCTACACTTAAAAAGCGCTTACTGGCATTGCGTCATTTGTTGTATCTTTGTAGTACCCCGTACAGCAACCCTTGTAGTTCTCTCCCTAGTAACCAGTCTAGTATCCCTCATAGAAACCCTGACACCCCATACAATAGAATCACCCAGAAACACTACACCCTTTATAAACCCTATATAGTCCCTATCCCTACATAATCCCCATATACACAGCAACCTGTATAAACCCTAAACCCTAAGCCCCATATGGGTGGTCCCTTTTTGGGTCCTTGTTATAATACGGCACCTATCATTTAAGGTACCCGAAAAGGGACCCTAATTTTAAGCCCTAAACCCTGCATAATCTCTTTCCCTACATAATCCCTATATACACCCTTTAGCAACCTATATAAACCCTCAACCCTAAGCCCCATGCAAGCCCTAGACCCAACTTCAGAACGCCCAGCGGCCAAGGCGTCCCAGCAGGCTCCGCCCCAGGCCGCCGGAGCTGTGGCCTTGAGGATGCCAGGTTGCAAAGAGCGGGTTTAGGGCTTAGGGTTCAGGGTTTAGGTTTTCTAAGGGTTTAGGGTTTAGGGATTTGTTTTAAGGGAGGGTTTAGAGTTTAGGGCTTAGGGCTTAGGGATTTGTTTTAAAGAAGGGTTTAGTGTTTAGGGCTTAGGGTTTGGGGTTTAGGGTTTAGGGCTTAGGGTTGTGCCGGTTATGCTGAACGCTTTGGGACTTCGGATTTCAGTGAGGCGGAAAGGGACTTTGGACTAAGCTTTGGGATTCGGCGTTTGGGGGGCTTAGTGCATTGCTTGCGTTCCCTTCCTGCTGGTAATTGTTGCTGTTGTGTTGTGGCAATGGCTCTCAATTCTGGACCTGCTGACTTTCAAGCGCTTCTCCCCTCTCCGTCTTTCCAAAGCAGCCGGCAGATATCTGTAGCGCACCGTGCGAGGAATAACTGGCAAGCCGAAATCGGAAAAAGTGGCTGCATTTGCAAACAAATCAGAATGGGACCTATTCGCACGCTTCCACCGTCTTGGTTAAAGTTACAGATGCTGAATTTCGGACAGGCAACTAAAGGGTCAAGATTCCCCTAAACCCTAGATTGCCCTAGATCCTAACGTAAGGGCCTTACTAACCAGACATGGGTTTTGGGGTATCTTAAACCATAATTATAGTGGAGTAACCAAAAAATTCCGTACTTATGCTTCCAATCCTGTGACTAATAAGAACCTTCTGCCATCTGAATGAAGCTGACACTCCGCAAATCTTGGAAGCCTTCAGCTGGACACTCAGTCACTCTTGTGTTCTTGCAGTGGTCCAGCATCAATGATGTCTGCCGAACTCAGGCCGAGGTTGGGTTTTTGGGTTAAGCTTGGGGTTCAAAGAACAAACTGACACATAAACACGCCTAGCGCCGACCTGAACGACAGCCGCAACTGAGGCGACTGCTTCGGTCAATGTCGGCGCCTGCACTCCACGCCGCCCAGTCCTTACCCACACTCTGGTGTGCTGTTCTTTATTTGGCCATCTGGGAACAGCATCAGTGGCAATTGTCTCAGGCGTGTGACAGTTGGAACTTGCTAGACCTGAATCCAAAATGGAAGCTATGGCTGATACATGTGACAGGGAGCTTCGAATTTGAAGCCCTTTCCGACTCTCTGGCCCTACCCAAGCCACTCAGCCAAGAAATGAACTGTATAGACGCTACAAGTACCTGGCCCCCATCACAATGGTGATCGCCGCGCTGTGTGCAAGGCAACCCCAAGCAGTCAAGTGGTGGAGTCTGAATGATCGAGCAAAAATCCAACTTTCCCCTGACATGACCACACATCTACCACGGCATGCCACGGCATCTATTTTCATGTTTGCCGCATCTCCGAAACAGGATCGCGGCAAACGTTTGCTGACAGAGCCCCATATGCATACCTGAGCCATGTCGATGCTCTGAGAAGCCCACCACACCAAGACCAGCCTGCCACGGCAACTCTTGAAAGCAGAGGGACATTGATTCTCAGGGTTTGGGTCTAGGGTTGAGGGTTTAGGGGATTAGGGGTTTACGATTTAGGGTTTAGGGCTAGGCATGCGGCAACAAGCACTTGGTCAGTCTTCAACTCTGCAGCCTATGACAGGCCCCCTCTGCCAGAAAGCCCATCTGAGGCTGAATCGATGGCATCGGAAGTGGGATCGGAGGTTCCTGGCAGACTTCTTCCTGGTGCTTAGTAGGGAATGGCTCCCTATAGTAGTCCCTATATAATCCCCAATAATCGTCCCCATGACCCATTCCCTATTCCCTACTAAGAACCAGACAGGACTTGGGCCAAGTTCCAGTTTGTCGACACTGTTTTGGGCTTTCTCCCGGAAACTGCTGGCCGGCTTGTGACAGAAAGTTGAGATTCCCGTTTCTGCTGAATGACTATGGCTTCAGAGGGCACTTGGGTTGGAGGCTGTCTGGGAAGCCATCTTTTGGGCTGGGTCCTCGGATCCACAACAAGGCCTGTGTGGATTCAGGAGCTGATTTACTCGGGGCCTTCATGAGTTAGGATTGGAGGCTGCAAGTTGTTGCGCACCCAGAACTTTCGGTATGCAGTTTCTCAGCTTTTCAACAGTATACCCTAAACCCTAAGCCCTACAGGCCGTGTATCCGGGCAAGGCTGCACTCCACGGCCCCAAACCCAGAGAGTCGGAAGCCTTGGATCTTTCAATGCCAGCTTCCAAGCCCCAACAGATCCCAGGCACCCGAAACCCAAAACTTGCCCTAACCCTTATCCCTTAAACTTGTAAACATCCCAGAACCATCTGTAGACCCTTGATTTCCCAAAAGTCTTGGAATCTGACCGCGGCGCTCTCCCACTGCAGCAGCCAGAGCCGCAGCACGCTCTGCGGCCGCGCGAGCCTCTGAGCTGGGAAGCTTCAGGTTTAGTGTTCAGGGTTTAGGATTTAGGATTTAGGGCTTGGGGTTTGGGGTTTGGGGCTCATAGTTTAGGGTTTGGGTTTGAGGTAGGACTTCGTTTTGGGAGTCTTCCGATTCAGAGTTTTGACTGCTGCGGGGCTCTCGGGGTCTCACTCACATCGGTACGGCGTGCTTCGACGAGTATGGCTCAAAATCAGACCTCGTATCCCTAAGCCCTTAACCCTGGTCCCTGAACCTCAAACCTCAATCACCCACGCCTTAGCAAGTCTCCCACCTCTGCTGAAGACTTCCGTGCAGCGTCCGCCGCAGCAGAAGCCACCGAGGAGGACGAAGCTGCGATTGCAAGGGCCAAACATGAAGGAAGGAAAGCAGGAAGGAAGGAAGGAAGGAAGGACTTTGGGGTCGGTCTAGATGTGAACATATATATATATATATATATACATACACATACATACATACATACATACATACATACATATATATATATATATATACTTACATACATGCTCTTACACTTGTATGTAAGCATTACTTGTTACTTGTACATTTTGATGTACAGACTTGCAGAATATGTACTTCTCCTGTACATCTTTCAGAATATCCGTTTAGTATTCCAAGCGTATACTCGGGCCACATCTGCTCAATGGGTCGGTCTATGGGTGGTCCTCTCTAAAAAGAGCCCCCAGCCGCATCCCAAAACAGAGCTCGTCAACCTCACAATCAGGACCCTAAACTGGCCCTGATTTAGGGAAAACCTATGCACATACATGGAGCATGTCAATGTCCTGATTTGGCAGCCGGAAACTCGAATTCTTCAGATCCGCAAGCCTGCAAGGTACGGATCTAGCAAGCACCAAACTGATCCTCACACTTCCTCCACTTCGGGATCCTAGCATCGAAAGTCTACAACCCTAAACCCTAAACCCGCTGCTCCGCAAGATCTCGGGGCTGAGGGGGATGGCCTCCGGCATCCCCGGCCAGGGCCTGGCACGCGGAACTCGGGGGCTCTAAGATGAAGCATACTACTGCGCTTCACTGGGTTTTTGTTGAGGGATTTAATTTAGGTTAGCATAATAAGGAAACCATATACATTACTTACTATAAATCCCTATCATGATACCTTACACTAAATTCTCAACAAGAACGCAGTTCAGGTCAACAGTTTAACATGGCATGTCTCCCCATTTGCTGCAAAGCCTGGAACAATTTCGGCATAGACTGCTGTCAAACTGGCAAGGTGGCATGTTTTCACAAGTTGGCTTGGCACACGCTGCGTTGCTACGCTGCTGAACAACTGGACATCTACATCCTTGCCAGCACACGTCGCAGATTCCACGTGCTACTGCTGCCATACATAAAGTGAGTCGCAGGTGGCATAACCCAAGAGACCGTCAGCAAAGCCCAGCGCACCGTGTACCGGGGCACTGCCAACCTTCAAGACTTGGGCGTGAACACCGGTCTCGGGATCCTTCGTGAGCTCCCCCACTTCGTCTCCTGCAAGGGCGCCATGCACCACATATAGCTTTCCGTCCATCCGCCCGACGTAGACGGTGCCGTCGCCGGTGATTGCAGGAGCACTCCACTGGGCAGGAAGGCAGATCTGGCGGAGGAGGTGAGGCGAGGGCCCGTGCATCACAAGGTGCGCCGTGCGCTGACCGTCTCCGGCAGCAAAAGGCGAATCGTAGGCTGCCGCATTGAACTTCCACAACATCTCCCCGGTCTCGGCATTCAAGGCCACCACGCTGCCTTCCTCGTGAAAGCCACCAGGAAAGGCTCCCGGAGTTACCACCACTGCGAGAGAATCTGAGCCCTTCACATGTCCCACCGCTGGGAAGGTGCAGCATGGTTCCGAGGTCGCGTGCTCCCAGATTAAGTTCCCCTTTTCCAGCCCAAAGGCTCGTACCATGCCCGGTTGCGAAGCTTTGCCAGTTCCGAGATTGCTGCAGGTGTAGACGATCTTGTTCGGACCAATCACTGCCCCTCCGTCCGAAAAGGTGCCCGAGGTGCCGTTCACCTTCGTCTCGTAGATCACTGTTCCATTCTTCAAGCCCAGGCGATAGATGTTGCCCTCGGCAGACATAAAGACCACGGTGTCGTCCTCCGGAAAGAGTGGTGTAAGATTCCAGAGCGTTGTATCGGCAGTGTACTCCCAGAGTTGATCTCCGGTGTCGGTACTCAGTCCAAAAACCTTGGTGTTCCCTCCAGGCAAGAACTCCGGAGAGCCCTCCCACTTTGAGGAGGCTACAACGAAGACTCCGTCGAAGGCAGCGGGATAAGCTGCATCCCCACCTGCTCTGTCCGCCACCTTCTTCGACCAGACCTCATAGCCAGTGTGCCTGTCGACCGCGAAGACGTGGCCGGTTGTGGTGGATCCAAAGAGTCTATCTCCACTCAGGAAGGGCTCATTATCTGAGCGACCTGGCGTAGAGTAGAACCACAGCAACTCACCTGAAGGCGAAAACTTCCACAATCCCCACATCGTCATGAGGTACAAATTTTTGTCAACATCGATGACCGGACCCCCTGCCACCATGTCTTCCCACTGGCCGCTTGGATTGTGCCATGTCCAGTTTGCTGGGCCGCTTGGCAAGGCCAAGACGACGTCCGTGGTACCGAACTGACCCGGAACCTTCCCGCGAGCATGCGGCCAGGGATGCGAAGCCGACTGCGTCTGGGGCATCTTCTCGGCAGCGAGGCTACTGCGACCAACAGCGAGATCCAGTTGAAGAAAGTCACCGCATGTACCTTCGGCACAAGCTCTTATGGCAGGTGCACAGAGTAAGGAGACCAGTGTCCTTGACAAAGTCGCCATCGGCACCAGCAGGGATGAACGTACTAACCTTTCATAAGAAAATTCAGTATGGCCGTGAGATTTCGAGCCTCATTCCTCGGACAAAGGAACTAAGAAAGCAGGAACCCACAAAAGGCAAGCAATTGCAAGAGCCGCTCGTGCCCCGCGAAGGCCCGACATGTTGATGTATTCCTGCCAGGCCTCTTCCAACATCGACAGCCGCGATGCCACGGCGGGATCCTTCACTCAACAGTTTGGGATGCTTCAAGAGTTGCAGGATGGAGTGGAGTGGGAAGACACTGGAAACACAGAACAGAGACAAGGCTTTTGGCATCGCACAGGGTCGGTGTTGGGCTTTAAACGCATCATGCGCCAAACACCTTGCCACGCTATACACTGGACCTGCCTTGAAGCAAATTCACAGCGAGGTGCTCGCAGTTCGCAGCAACAGATGCTCTGCAAACCTCACCACTTGTGGGCAGGAAAAAAGATTTGCAGGCTGCCGACTGCGTTTCAACACGTCGGTAGTCAGCACGCCGGTTTCTACGGCGCGCTGCTGTTTTGCCCTTGTCCTCCTGGGAACTCTCGCGGAGGGAGCTCCACTTCATTGCCAAGAAATTTGCAGTTCGAGGAATGTCTCCAGTGCGGTCAATGGCCAGAGAAGCCTGAGCCGCAAGCCAGCTTCTTTGTCGACGTGATTGGAGAAGAAATGGCTAAATGACATAAACACCGCGGTGAAGACAACAGGGAAAAGGAATACATAGTCATGTCAGGCATGAAACAGCAGCGTGCAGAAAAATGACACCCAAAAAAAAAACAGAAACCAAAACCCCAACTACCCAGTAGCAACTATTTTGGGCGTTCCTTATTATACTTATAGTAAACAGTAATGGGCCCCAAAACCCTATTCTAAGTGTTGCATCGGGGAGCCAGCTCATGGGCCAGGGCACCAGGAAGCCCGAGCTCAACTGCCAGTAGAACCCTAAGGCCTCAGATTCCAAGCTGCATGGCCATCACTTAATTAGCCTTAGATCCTGAACCTTAAACCCCTAAACCCTAGACCCTAAACCCCTAAACCCTAAACCCTAAACCCCTAAATCCCCAAATCCCTAAACCCCTAAATCCCTAAACCCCTAAATCCCTAAACCCCTAAATCCCTAAACCCCTAAATCCCTAAATCCCTAAATCCCTAAACCCCTAAACCCCTAAATCCCTAAACCCTAGGCTCTGGGAGAGTTCTGGGGGCCTTCAAGTCTCTGGCTTGGCGGTTTCCCAAGGTCTTGTTTTGGGTTTAAGGTTTAGGGTTTAGGGTTTAGGGTTTAGGGTTTAGGGTCTAGGGTTTAGGGTTTAGGGTTTAGGGTTTAGGGTCTAGGGTTTAGGGTTTAGGGTTTGGTTCAAAACATACAGAGCAGGAGTAGCAGCGACGACGGGCCTGCCACTGCCGGCAATCTGTGGCAACCCCCCCCAATCACTACATGTACTCCCCTATAGCACTTCGGGCCCTGGGTCTACAGAAACCCTGCTGTTGCAATGCCTTCCTGCGCAGGATTTAAAGAGTGAGGCTGGGGAACCATTCGTACCACCACTACCTCTCTTGATGATACAAGGCCGATATACGCGTACAGAAAGTTCCACCCTCCACCAGCGATCGATCTGGCGATGCCTGATGCCAAGGTTGGGGCAGCTTCAGCCGGGCGGCTGCCATGGAGAATCCAAGAATCTCATCTAAATAGGAGCTTTGTGGATCAAACCTGGGATAAGATCACTGGTGCTTTTGAGCAGAGGCAGGGATTCCGATGAAAAAAAAGCTCCGTACAAGGGGCGGTTTGTTGCACAAGCGCCGCAGTACACCTCGTTCTTCGAGTATCTGCACGGAAGCAGTATGTTGGTACCGCATCAGTCGTTTTGAACATGCCGATCTCTGAAGCGAAACAAGATATTAGCTATCCTCCTTTTGAAAAAAATTAGCCATCCTCCAGGACCTAGGCAAAGCCCTCGCTCTCCAAACTCGTGGTTTTAGAGACCTTCGATCATGAATTATTTTGTGAAGTATTGTTTAGTACAGTATAGCACAGTATATAATATAGTATACAGTATCGTGTATAGCATAGTGTAGTATAACACTAGACCTTCGATCATGGATCATGTGTGAAATCGAGTTGCTGTCGCTTCCCGAAGCCTTGAGAATCTCGTCCCCCCCGGGCCTTGATAAAGGCAACTCCGAACATGGTTCCACCGCGGAGACAAGCGTACCTGAACCCATGGGCTGCCTTGATTCAAGGAGGACTCTTCCATTTTCATTCTTGTCCAGGGTATCGTGGTTTAGGGTTTAGGGTTTAGGGGTGGATGCCGGGATTCCAACACATGAGATTTCTTACAGTTGAAAATGTGTGAGCTTCTCATCTGCTCGCTTGCCGGCTACTTCTGGCCAACCGCACAGTCGCGGACTTGCCGCAAATGCACGTGTGAAAGCCCGCTAGCGACATGAACCGTGATGACGACGTAGGAATGTTCGCGATGCAACAATACCTTCAAAGATTGGGACTAACCCTCGAGTGGCCAGATGACTTGCAAAGGCTTCATGGCTTTGTAAGGGATTTAGCTTGGACTTGGGTCATTCCTGGCAGTGCCTGACAAGCAAACTGGTCGTACGGGACCCATGTCTGCAGACTGGCAGTTGATAGCTTGATGCCAGTGGCCGGATGTTGAGAACTCGACCCGGCCTAACCTAGGACCCACTTGCCAAGGTGCACTGCGCCCTGGGCTTTTGCCACAAGCCAGACGATCAGAATCAGGACTGCCTCGGAAGTTGCTGAAACAAATAGTGTTTACCGCTATTTGGGGGTTATGCCGGGCACACCATGTAATTGAGGCCAGCTGAGGCCCCCATTTGACTGAGACGTCACCAAGATGGTCTACTGGTACATAATACACTGACATACCAGCCTTGAGCAGTACCTCGAGGATGGTCTCAACCTTATTCGGCAGAACACAGCACACCAAGAGCTGCATGGTCGCGAAAGAAAGTAGGAGCCTCTTGCTGCAACCCTCTTGAGGCGGTGTTCCCACCGGAAAGCTCGGCATGCTTACGTCTGAGCTGCCTCAGTCTGCTCTAAACCCCAGAACCCCAAATACTAAACTCTAAACTCTAAACCCTAAACCTCAACCCAAAACCCTAAACCCCAAATACTAAACCCTAAACCTCAACCCAAAAACCCTGAACCCCAAACACTAAACCTTAAACCTCAACCCAAAACCCTAAACCCCAAACACTAAACCTCAACCCAAAACCCTAAACCCCAAACACTAAACCCCAAAAGCCCTAACACCCAAACCCACTCAAGCCGAAGAGCCCAATGCTGCAACTCCGGGCCCAGCAGAGAGCATAGCGCCGGCGCCAGCAAGCGAAGCGCCGGAAGCTTCCTCGGCTATATATAGGAATAAGAATAAACAAGAAAAAGCAGAAGCAGAAGAAGAAGGAGAAGGAAAAGGATAGTATTAACAATAACGAAAAGAATCAGAACAGCTCAAAATATGATAACAATCATAATGATGGTCATGATAGTAATACTAACAATAATGCGTTATGATCATGATACGAATAAGTACAATACTAATAATAATGATACTAATAATAACAATAATACAATCTTTTTACTACTCAGAATGACAATGAGCCTCACAAGAAGCAAACTCGACGAGAAGACCACGGGTCGCTTCAGGCAAGTCACAGCATCTCTGCAAAAGCCAGGGCGTACGCAACCTATCGAGCGACTCATCCGAAGAGCGAAAATTTCAGAGAAAAGTCTTCTAGCATCTGGGACCTCTGGTTCGGAAACCCAGCCACACTGAGTTCTCCACAGTCTCAACAGGACTCGGATCATGTCGGCGAATGAAACAAACCTAAACACTTCCAATGATAAGAGCCTGCAGGTGAAGGCTTCGATCTCAGCACGGCGTGACCCGGTCCTATGCCACTTCCCCCGATGCGCCCACGCCCATCCCTAAGACCCCAAACAACCCTGAACCCTATAGATTCCTTAAAGGAACCCTATTAGTACCCTTTAAAGGAACCCTTGTGCTACAGTACCCTTTAACGGAACCCTTATAGTACCCCTTTAAAGGACCCTTATAGTACCCTTTAACGGAACCCTTATAGTACCCTTTAAAGGACCCTAAGCCAGTCCCCGCCGTCTGGGCAAACTGGAGCTTCAGGGTAGCCAGAGCCCCGAGGCAGGCGGCCCAAAGGGAGGAGACCGCTGCCTCGAGCCTGCCGGGATCTTGTAAAGGGTTTAGGGTTCAGGGTTTAAGGTTTAGGGTTTCGGGTTTAAAGTTTAGGCTTCGGGTTTAGGGTTTAAGGTTTAGGGTTTAGGGTTTAGGGTTCCTGAGTCGTATAGGATACTGAAGATTCCTGAAGCAGGTACCCTGCCAATCACCTACCGTACTATAATACATACTATCGTATTATGGTACAACTCACCAGCCGCCCCACTGCATCCAGGCCTCTGGGGGTCCTCGATGCTCATCATGGCAACATCTGGGCATTTCCGAAAATTTGGGGTACCTTATGTGCGGTCCTTATAATCAGGATCTGTTTATTTAGGATACGACTATATGAGGGTCCCCCTATTTTCGGAAACTACCACTGGCAACATGGGGCAGCTGGACTGGTCGACGTTCGGCTGGCTTCGGCAGTATACTATACATGATGTTCTGAAACTCCACAACGTTCCCTTACACTTTCATTAGCTTGCTTGTGTGCAGTTAGCCGCGTGAATCTATCATATCGGCTGGTGTAGTATTGCATCGCGAGTATGATTTGTGTCGTCCTGTGTCCACTAGAACTTTGTACAACACCTTCCTCTTCGTTATCTACCTGTCTGCGCGTTCATCTGTCACTCAGGTTCTTCGGTGAATTTTTGAACACGCATGTATGCAATCATACACGCGTGCAGAACAGCTGTCTAGAGTCTACACGACTACCTCCCGCTCATGCATAGGTTTCGATATTGGTTGTATTTTGACTACAGCCAATAGCGGAGCTTCTTCGGCTCAAGCCAGGGCACGCAGCTTCTGGCGCAACAGCTGCCTGGCGTCCATCCTCGGAATGGCGAGTGCCATCAGCCTAACGGACTGCACACCTCTCTGCTACCCGGTGGGGCCTGCAAAACAAGGAACACCAGTACAGACTCCTATGCTTCGTACTTCTCCGCGTTTCGTCCCCATTGTGCACTGGAGGGATTCTCTCGTGCTCTACGGTTCTCCGCCTCTTTTTGCTTGTGGTATTTGTCTTCTTCGTCAACTTCTGCTGTCCGGTCTCGCATTTACTGCTTTGGGCATCCCTCGTCTAGTTCGTCCTCTTCTCTTATTGGTTGCTTTTCCTGCTGCTCCTTCTGTAGCTGCTTCTGCCTCGCCTCACTCGCGCGCCCCCACACTTGTTCGCCTTCTTTCTCACTGACTTTCTCGGCCTGCCGCACATCAGCAATCACGGAACCCTCCACGGCAAAATGTAGCAAGCCGCTGGTCTACGTCCGCAATGCCGTCAGCATTCTCATCCTGCCAAAGCCAAGGATTTGCAAGAGGCAAGGATGTTAAATACTGATGCTGTTGAACAGTGCTTGGAGGTTCATGGGTAGTTATAAGTAGGGTTACGAGTCCCCTAATATGAGCTATAAGTATAGTTACCCTACTTATAGCCCCACTTATAACTACCCGTGAACCTCCAAGTAACAAGACTTAATAGCAAACAAAGACCCAGGGCAACAGCAACGACAGCAGCAGAATGAACAGCAACAGCAACCGCAACACGAGCCGTCACGACCACCTGGAACAAACAGCAGTAGTCATCGCACTGGCAAGGAAACCTCCCAGACCTGAAAAGCTTGGGCTTCAGGGCCTTGTGAAGCCTCCTGGGATCCTGAATTCCCGACCCAAACCCATGAAATCCAAACTCTGGACCTGAGAATGCCGTCGTGACATGCGGAAGGGAAGCCCCTCTCAGATGTGTAAGCTTGTGACTTTCGAGGCTTCGAGGGCGATAGAGACGGCACGGGGGCCTTACATCCTGAACATTGAACGAATCACGTCCTTCAAGTCGTCCGCTGCAGAGGCAGCTTCCACCAAGGCGGCTTGGTCGATGATGTATCTGGAAATAGGGTTCGGAGCCATCGTGAGCATCCCGTCACATTTTTACAGCACAACATAAACAAAGAGATTAGTATGAAAGATAAGAGAGATGGAAACGGAGAGAGAGCCATGCCTTTGTACTGGTTACAACGTACGATATGGCCTCACACCAGGTTGTATCAAAGCATGATTGATGTCATGCCGTAATCGCTGTGCTTCATTCTATCATTCTACAGCAGCGTTGGCAATGTTATACGAGCTGTGTGTGGCCACGGTGCTGGCAAACTTTGTGCTACATCATCTTCTGATTCCTTCATACTATACTACTGTACTCCTTTAGCTTATCCTGTACACACCTCCCAACATAATTTGTCGTGGTTTGGCGGATCTTCAGCTTGCCGCTTGCCGCTTGCCGGCACCGGCTGCTTCGTTCAGAGGCCTTGCTTCTCTCGGCATTCGGCTCAGCAGCGAAGCTGTGGCAGTTTGAGGTTAACCAACCAAAAGGAAAGATACCCCAAACTGATGCGGCCATTACATCCATCTCGAGGCTCCCAGGGACCTCCGGGGGTTGGGTGTATGAGGGTTTCATAGATCGAGCCTCGGCTGAAAGCCTAGACCGCCCTGAACCCTAGAGCCCTGCACCCAAGAATACCTTAAAGCGCCCTGAACGTAGCCAAAAACCCAAACCGAAGCCCAAGGATAAAAGGGAGTGCAGCAAGAGCACTGCACTTCCACTTGCAGGCGCTGGAAGCCCATCTTCCGGAAGGCCTGGCCAGGCGCCCAGCCATAAGCAGGGCTCAACATATGGGAGTTTCCGAAAATGAAGGGTGTCTTGTTTGGGGGGTCCTTATAATAAGGATCCTACTGTTTAGGGTACTGCATTAGGGTCCCTATTTTCTGAAACTCCCATATTGTGCTATCTCACAAAATATTGCAGTATTTATTGCAATTCACCATGGCGTGTGAAAATGGGCCTGCAATGTGTCCAGCTCTTTTTGTTATATCTTATAGTTTGCACCAGATACTTTACCAAAGGTATTGTATATAATGTACCTCTCTTCGGTGTCCAGGGCTTTGCGACTTAGGGTTCTTGTGTTCACCCAACTATCATTAGTGCTATTGTTAGTACTAAATATTAGTACTGTCATTATTAGTATGGTTATTATTAGTATGGTTATTACTAGTATTCTTATTTCCCAGCTTGCCCTGAAGATTGGCACTGGTCTCGTCGACGCAGGATGCCTCCACGGCCGCGAAGAGTGCCACGAATGTACCGCCGAAGAAGCACAAGACCTTGCACTTCCGACGGCGCCATGTCCCACCGTAAACCCCTAAACCCTTTATCCCTAAACTCCAAAACCCTAAACCCTAAACCCCCAAACCCCAAACCCCAACCCCCAAACCCCCAAACCCCTACACCCTAAACCCTGAACTCAATGCCTTCAAAGTCTAGGGCAGAAGCTGAGGAGTCTGCCAAGCCCGTGGCAGCTTGGAGTTCGTAAGGCGTCTTGCTGCACATCCTCAATTCGGGTTTCGGGGTTAGGGGTTTAGATTCGGGTTTAAGGGTTTCGGGTTTAAGGGTTTAGGGTTTGGGGATGTAGGGGTTTAGGGGTTTTGGGGCTTAGGGTTTAGGGGTTTAGGGGTCAAGGGGTTTGGGGTTTATATAGGGGGTTTAGGGTTGGGGTTTTACAGGTTTGGGGGGGTTTAGGGGAGGGGGTTTAGGGGGTTGAGGATGTAGGGGGTTTGGGGGGTTTAGGTGTTGGGATTTAGGGTGCGTGCGATCCGGGTTGCCGGACAACAGGACCGATGATGACAGAACAAGAGGGCCTTCACATGACCTACGAGCCACAGCCCTGTCATGCGCTCTGAAGCTTCGCCTGCGCTCATTTGGGCACAAGCTTCGAGTATAGCCAGGTGAAAGCCGTGATGTATCCTGGGCCGTAATCGGTGAGTTTGGGGTTCAAACGAAATAATATGTTGTTATTACTATGATTACTATTATTACTATTCTTAATATTATTGCGATTATTACTACTATTATTGTTGTTATTATTCTTGTTACTACTGTTACATAACTTCAAGTTTCAGGCTTCGGGCGCCGGGCAAGCCGTCGCAAACATGGTGCGACTGTGAAGCATTTTTGGCTTGTCGACTTTGCATGCGGATTCTAATCATATTACATTCTAATATAGTATTATTGTTATTATTGTTTCATTTCATTATTTTCATTTTTATTACTAATATTCTTATTACTATGTATTACATGATACTATACTATATTAGTACATGTATACTGCGCCAGGACGAAAGTTCGTCGCATCCGGTAGGTCTGCTAACACATACTTGCAAGCCCCTTTCCCCCATAGACTCCTTCACGAAGTCGCGATGTCAGGCAAGGACGTCACTAATTCCTCCGTCGGAACAAAAAAACAGTGTATGTTTATTTTGGCATGGAAATTCCTCCGCTAGCCAGGCCACGTAAAATGCACTTCTTCGTACTCCGAGTCCTTCGCCAAGCAAAGACATCTTAGTGCGACAAAACTTTCATCCTGCTGATGCTCACCACAGACTAAAACCGAGTAGGCACCCGTCCAAAAAACCTTCCTCCGTGTGACACATGCTGGCCTGGCCTGGCCGAACTAGCGGTCTTGGAATTCATGCTGCTCACCCGCGACTAAAAACGAGTAGGCACCCGTCCAAAAAACCTCCTCCGTGTGACACATGCTGACCTGGCCGAATGCTGGCCTGGCCGAACTAGCGGTCTTGGAATTCATGCTGCTCACCCGCGACTAAAAACGAGTAGGCACCCGTCCAAAAAACCTCCTCCGTGCTGGCCTGGCCTGGCCGAACTAGCGGTCTTGGAATTCATGCTGCGCCAGGACGAAAGTTCGTCGCATCCGGTAGGTCTGCTAACACATACTTGCAAACCCCTTTCCCCCAAAGACTCCTTCACGAAGTCGCGATGTCAGGCAAGGACGTCACTAATTCCTCCGTCGGAACAAAAAAACAGTGTATGTTTATTTTGGCATGGAAATTCCTCCGCTAGCCAGGCCACGTAAAATGCACTTCTTCGTACTCCGAGTCCTCCGCCAAGCAAAGACATCTTAGTGCGACAAAACTTTCATCCTGCGGATGTATTCTCTCGGCTGTGAGATGCTCGCCTCGGCCGATCACCAGGGCCCAATCGCCCAGCGGGGCCGCCACGGGAGCCAGGAATCGCAGTGCCTGCGCAAGCAGCGGCGTGGAGGACCTTGGCGAAGGGATTCGGATATCAGGATTTAGGGTTTAGGGGTGGATTTGGAACATAGGGTTTAGGGTCCTTGGTGGAGAGATTCGGATATCAGGATTTAGGGTTTAGGGTTTTTGGGATTTAGGGTGTAGGATTCAGGGTCTCATATCGGGTCGGGGAGGCGAGAAGCAGGATCTCGGTTCCTGAGGGGCTGGGGGTGATTTACTGCGATTACCCATATTCATGATCGCCATAACAACAAACATCATCAACAATCATGATTCCAACCGCAAGAAACTTTATCATAGTCACAGTAACCATAAAGGCACTACCACAGATGATGAGAAAAACGTTGAATTAGAAAAGCAATAGCATTTTCATTAAGGTTCATACGACTAAAACTACTGCTATTGCGGATAGCAAGTAACCGTCCTCGTATGCCTAACTGCATACGCTGTGACCGGTACTGATAAAGAAGATATTACGAGTAATGATAGTACTAAGAGCGACAATAATAACCAGGATATAATAAAATAACAATAACAATAATCGTAGTAACAATAGAACCAGTGATGTTCGTAATGGTAAAGGTAACAGTGAATAATCTGAAATAATAGTCAGAATACAAATTTCACGTATACAAACAATAATAAAAATAACAGTTGGAATTTTATGAAATCAGAGTCATAGTAATAATAAGACTAAGAATAACAATAAGAATAATGACACTGCTTTTTGCAAGACCGCGCAGCTCGGCCATTTCCGCCGCCGACTCCAGGAGCCGCTCCAGGCGGCTGAAGGGAGGTTTCGCGGCGGCGCCCTGTAAGAGTTTTTTGTTCTAAAAATTAGAGACTCAGGGTTTCAGGGGGGTAGGGTTTATAGGCTTAGGGGTTTCGGGGTTAGGGGTTTATAGGTTTAGAGGTTCAGAGGTGGGTTATCCCAAAACCTACCGTTTCAAGGGGTTTATCCTCTAATTAATGGGTCATCACCACCTACTATTTTGTAGGGTTTGGCCACAGGTAAGGGTTCTCGTTCTAAAAATTGGAGTAATTAGAGGTTCAGGGGCTTGGGGCTTATAGGTTTAAGGGTTTCCGGGTCAGGGGTTTATAGGTTTAGGGGTTTCGGGGTTAGGGGTTTCGGGGTTAGGCGCGAATGCGTTTTTGAGGGGTGTTTGTGGGCGGTTGCAGGTTCAGAGCTTTGGATAGAATACGGTCAAGCTCAAAAACTGTTAAACAACTATGTCGAATGTTGAGTGCCGAGGGCAAAAAAATTAAAACACATCTCAAACCTTAGTGTGCGTCCAGGCCCCGTATTCTAAGGTTCTGAAGGGTTCAATACCTGTCCAGATGCTCAACCAGAATCCGGTCAGTTTCCAGCCTCTGCTTGAACCCTAGCAAGTCCCTCAGACAGGGTGTGAGCTTTCGTCACTTCGTTGATTTCGGATGGCGCTTCAGTGAAAACTGCCCCCTCAACCATTAGGACTTCATGGCTGAAAGTGTCTTCTCGGGCCTACTTGGAGGATCATGGGACTTAGTAAGTAAGGTTATCAGTACCTTCTTTGGGGTTATAAGTAGAAAAAAGTATAGTTACCCTAATTATAACCCCAGTTACTAAGTCCCATGATCCTTTAAGTAGACCCTAAACCCTGTAGATCCCGTTTAAGGAACCCATAGATCCCTTTCAAGGGACCCTTAAAGGTATGGTCCTATGAGCATGAAAGGCTTTGCGGCTCAGGGTTCAAGACGTCGGAGCTTAGCAGCGGCCGAAGGAAGGAAACAGCGAGCAAAGGAAGGCCAATGCTGCATCTATATTTATTATTATTATTAGTATTATTATTACTAGTATGATTATCATTATTATTATGATTACGATTACTATTATGCTTATGATGATGATTGTTACTATTATATCAAGAGCCCCAGATCCTGTCGACTCGCCTTCACCTCCTTCCTTGGCGCCCGGGGTGCGGCTGAGAGCCTAGCAGGAAGAGCCACTGGCGTCCACTGATCTCGGGAGGCTTCAGGGAAGGTAGTTCAGCAGCGCACGTATAATTTCGCCAAAGCTGGCTTCCTCAAAACTGAACCACCAGCTTCAACATGTCAGCCAAGAGTACCCTTAACGGTTAATCCAAGCCAGGCAACAGCGTTGGATGAATGGTGGCAGATTGCGACTGCAAGTGCTTGTCGCCTCAAGTCAGAACAGCACCGCTTCTGCACTCTTGAAGAACTACGGTTGAGGGTTGAACTGCAATTCCTGAAGTAGCAACTGTAGCAGCATAGAAGAATACTGACTCCTCTTGCTGCTGCTCCTTCTTCTGCTCCTACTCCTACTTCTACTCCCAGTCCCAACGCTCGTCCTCGTCCTGCTCCTCCTACTTCTTCTTCTACTACTACTACTGCTGCTACTACTACTACTACTACTACTACTGCTTCTTATACCACTACGACCACCACCACCACCACTACCACCACCACCACCACCACCACCCCTGCTGCTGCCAATGCCAATATTGCGCCTGCTGCGACTGTACCACTGCAACTGCCACCCACGATCACGATGACATGACCTTGACGAAGACAAGGACAATGAGGATGAGCATGAGTATGATAATCATGATGATGGCAATGGTCGAATCCACAATGATGATGACTGCTGCTTGAGCTGGAACGGGTCATATGGTGATGGTACTGATGCCTGCTGTAGCGCTGGTACTACGACTGCCACACAAGCATTTCACAAGTTTCATCTGCCTCCGCTCGGTCTCTGGTGTTCGTGCCCGCGACCTCGAACAAGGCAAGCGACTCATGTGTCGCCTAGCCCTCCGAAGTTCTGTCATTAAATGCCCTACCAGACACGGACTACGACTAATGCCTCGACCTTCAGTGACGTTCGGTGGTCTTTGGATTGCTCTCTGTCTGCACCAGAGACCAGACCAAACCGATGCAAATTGACACCTCGGAGGCATGGGTGGGCCCCACTCCCACCACGTATCGTCGCATTAATGCAAGTTCAGCGACGCCCTGCAGGTTTTTGCTCGCTGCCATGATTTCGGCCAGCCCCTGAGCAGAAAACGCGAGCCCCTGAAGGAGGCCAAACTGACTCCCCAAACTCTGAAAAAAAAAAAAAAAAAAAAACGCTGAGGCCCTGAACCTTAACACATCTAAACCCCAATTCCAACCCGTCAACTCAGAGCTCTCTGAAACCTTCCTGCCTTTCTCCCATCACTTGCCCCTCCACGCTGGCCTGCGGATTGCGCAGAATGATCGTGGCTGGGCCTCGAGGACATTGCGGATGGTATCAAGAGGCTTCAACACACAGTCGCGATGATGGATTCATCTGGGGACACGAGGCTGAATCGAAATGTCTGACTGCTCGACTACGCGAATCGAAATGTGACGCGGCTGTCTCGCAGGATACTGAAGGGTGATCTCGTGCTCAAGGTGTGTTTCGAGACATCTTCGATGGATCTATGACTTTTCTACTGGATGGCCAGGATCTTTCCAAAAGAGCGTCCTCGAGAAGAAGTGACCCCAACCCGCATGTCCACGACACCCGGAGCTTGTCACCTTCTATCATCCAAACGACCATTATACATGCAGCATGCTTGAACCACCACTGCAAAGCAGTATAATTACTTGCAACACTGCAGAACGGAAGAAGAATGATGTCGACAGCATCCGGGTATGCCAGAGATCTCAGTATATCGGCCTCGCTCCGATTTCGGGTCTGCCGGGCTCCCCGCGCTTGGTGGTGGTGGTGGTGGTGGTGGTGGTGGCCGTGGTGCCCTCCAGAAGAGGAGGATGGCGAGGCCGGTGGCTGACCTGGAAGCCCCACTGCCTTATATATAAATATATGTAGAGAAAATATATAAAAATAGATACATATATATATATATATATATATATATATACATATACATATACATACATACATACATATATATATATATATTGATTGTATCCTATCTTACATTATGTTGTATCACGTTATGCTATGTTCTAGTATAGTATGGTATACTTTGTTATATTATGTTATATTACACTATAGTATAAAACACTGTATACATGTGTATATATATATATATATATATATATATAGAGATGAAACAGAAACTGCTAGGAAAAGCTTTACTGCCCACAACGTCGCAAGGCTTCACGGACCGACGACCTCACACCTTCTGGCCTAAGCCCTGTTGCATCCGATCGCCCGAGCCAGGGCACTCTTCGCAGCACCGGTGTAGTGTTCAGGAGGCATGCGCCATCTCAGCTCTGCAGCGACGAGATTCAGCAATGCTAGTCATAGGCATAGCTAAAACTAGCGTACACTGCTGTTCGTAGTGAGAGCAACGGGTAAAACGGGGCAGAAAGAAAAGCACGACTGCCCCTCATTGCATACTTTGCATACATCGTGGCACTACTGCCCTCGATTTGTCAGCAGAATGTGTTCTCTTGACCTCAGAGCTCAAGCCCCATTGCAGGGAACTTCGAGGTGCTGGTACTGTCGGGTCACCCACCGGCTTCCTGCTGCTACGACAACTCAGGCCCTGCTATCATCTCCGCAACTACGGTTGATGATATAAATCCTGCATTACCTATTGACCCTTGACTTTGGTATGGTGTGTTCCTTGTTATGGGTACTGCAGGATTTATATCGTCAACAGTAGCACTGGCACGTGCTGCAAGCCGGCCTACTCTGGCCCTACAAGCAGTTTCTAGGCTGGCACCTCGGTTCGGACGAGCCACATGCCATCTTTCCCATGAACAGGCAGTAGGGGTCGCCGCCGATCCGACACGCCCGGCGTTCCACCAAGCATGATGGGACACTCAGGCAAAGGGCGCGTGTCTGAGGCTTATCGATGCAGATTCTGCTGCAGATTCATTACAGAGGTCTTGCAGTGTCGCATCAGCGTGATCTAGAATGCAACTTCGAATACCTTGATTCAGAAAGCCACTCAATAGCATCGACTGTTCCAGTTCCAGTGAGCCGGCAATGCTCTAGATGAACACCAGTCAGGTCGAGTTTGCGAATCAGCTTCTGCCACGCAAGCCGTGTCGCGCTGCTCTCGTCCTCAGGCGAGTGGCCCCAGCAATTTCCCTGAGAGCAGACGGTCCTGGCGTCGCACTTCCTGCATCAAACGCGACATGTTCGCTGTATGGCCATCACAGGTACGAGTTGCGTGTCAGTCGCGATTCTTAAACCCATCTTAACCCGCTCCAAACTCTCCTTAATGCACAAAACTGTTCACGGCTTGGCATCCTATCGCAGAGCATGGGAAAAAAGTGCAAGCTGCTTGACCCATCTTACAATGCCACCTGTCGCAGTGTCTCCATGGAAAGTCGAAGTTCCGCAAGCTGTGCTGCGCCGGCGAAACCTACAGCAGTGCTTGAAGTCTGGCAAAACCTGCTAAACTCCCCAACCTGCAAGAGCTTAGCGACCCATTCGTCAGACCTGCGAACTGCGTGCAAGAGACAAGACAAGACAAGCTCATTGTAAAAAGCGTGTGAACCCTTTGTATCCGGCTCCTGTCAGTTGAAGCGAAGCTTGGTGAGAAGCATATTTTATACGAGCCTGACCTGCAGTCATGGCAAGCAGAGGCAACAAAGATCAGGAAACACGGACTGGTGGTGCCATACATATGGCTACCATGTGACCATGTGATGGATGGGCGTGGCCTGCACTAGAGTCCAGAATTTGCGGTGTAGTTGGCAAAGCGACGGCCGGTGGTCCTGAACTCACAGAAGTCGCCTTAGGCATGCAAAGCATACCAAAAGCAACTGCAAGGATTCTCATAACAAAGGGGAACAGGAGGGACCCTTAATGGGGACCCCTACCCTATAATGGGCTATATAATGGGTATATAATGGCTATATGAAGGGTATATTACCTAGGGGTCCTTATTAAGGGTCCCTCCTTTTACCTTTGGATCATAACAATGCCACTTGACTTCTCCAGACTTTGCAGACATAGCGATGCTGCTTGCAAAGTAATGACTGCTGCCGCCGCCGCCACTGCTGCGACTACTACTGCTACTACTACTACTGCTGCTACTACTACTACTACTGCTGCTACCACTACTATTACTACCACAACAACTCCTCTACTGCTACTACCACATTTACTGCTGCAGCTGCTGTTCGTCTTCTTGTTGTGTCTTGCTGCTGCGGTCGGCGTGGTCAAAATAATGTCTCGCTCCAATGTTCTGTCACGATCAAGATAGTCACAATTGGTTGGGTGGTGGTGTCGGCACATGTGTGCGATCATTCTCGCTCCTGTTGCCTGGTACTGCTGCCATTGCCATAATGGCGGGCGGATAATGTGCGCTTACCGCTTCTGCTGTCAGCATCGCTGTCCAGGGTAGCACGAATTGCCCAGGCAACTTCGCTGAAGCTCCGAAATCCTGTACGGGTCCTTCGGCAACGTCAGAGAAGAGCAAGAAGGCCATCAGACCGAGAGGCACCTGGACTGATCCTTTCTGACTGGAGCCAAAACCCTGAATAGTCATGTGGCTTTTCTACGGACAGCTGTATGAGGAACCCCTACCTAATCTCTTTTGAAAACGCAACAGCAGCAAAATGCCTGGATTGGATTGCACCACAGACCGGTTGATTGCATCTCGCTGACCAAACTTATCAACTGCCGCCAAGCCACCATCCCTGTCACAGCCGCACAAAAGGCCTCACATGAGCCACGATGGAGATCGAAGTAGGTCGCTTGCATCTGCCTACTATAGGGGCCTAAAGAGATACCAATACTAGTTTGGGGGGTCCTTATTATCTCTATAGTATAATGGGCCCCCAAACCCTATTCTGAATACTAAGGCCCCTATAACCCCTATATTACTGTATTGCCGGTCGGTAGGCTTTGCACTAGTCAAGCTTCGCCGATCCCACAATCGGAGCCCTGATAGAGTCTCGCATCTAACAAGGCCAGAAATACCAACCCTAGCAAACAAGGTACCAGATGTTGATAAGTAGCAATCGAAGATGGCAACGAGAATGGCAGTACGGGCAATAGTCACAGCACTGATTGCCAGACTAAGCATAGCTGTCCTTTTCACAACGGGAGTCGTAGTGGTAGCAGCAGAGCAGCAGCAGGAGGAGGAGGAGGAAGCGCAGCAGCAGTAGTAGTAGTAGTAGTAGCAGTAGCAGTAGTAGTAGTAGTAGTAGTAGTACTAGTGGTGGTAGTAGTAGTAGTAGTAGCAGCAGCAGTAGTAGTTGTTGTAGTAGCAGCAGCAGCAGCAGTAGCAGTAGAAGTAGCAGCAGTTGTTGTCGCTGTTGTCGTCGTCGCGGCAGTGGTAGTGGTAGTGGTAACGGAAGTGGTAACGGGGGTGATAGCAGTAGTGGTAGCGGTAGAAGTAGTGGTAGCGGTAGAGGTCGGGGTGGAGGTAGCAGTGGCAGTGGCAGTGGTAGCGTTCTTGCGGGTGGCGGTGGTGGTAGGTAGACGAGCAAGCATGATGTGAACAAAGATTCAGGACGACATGCGAACTGTCTGAGTTGACAGTCGTTACAGAGTAACAGTAGAAGGAATGTTGGAACGGGATGGGTCGGACATAGAACCGCAAGAACTGTGCATGATAAGACCAGTTGTCATCATACTAGCAACAATAGTATTGACGAGAACCCTGTGGATGAGTCAACTTTGAGGCTGACACAGGCAATCTCTCGGCTTCTGACAGGGTGCCAAACCGAATGACATCAAAGATACTGGGTCTGCGGCTACATCGACTGAGGCGGTTGGGGCACCCAACACACACGGTCGATCGAAACCAGGTGCCCGACTGCAATCGGAAGATTCAAGCGCCTCGCGATGCCAAGGCAGAGGCCAATGTGCACGAGAGCGTGTTATGATATGTTGTACTATATTCTTCAATATAATATACCCTATTTTACTAGATTATAGCTTAGGGCTTGGTGTGGCTTCGGAAGACTCTGCCGGCATAGACCCCAAATAGCGATTTTGCACTTACATAGCAATCCCAGCCCTGTACAAACCCAAGCACGGCCCCAAGAAAAGAAGCACCGGCTCTCACACCCGTGCTCTCCTTGACGCCCCTTCCTTCCAGCAGTGGAGACTTTCTGGAGCATCCGTTTCTCAAGAAACACTCTGTGAATGAAGCGCGTGAAACCCGAATAATATGGCGGTAACCTCGAGACCTGCTCTTGCATGTTTAGGGTTTAGGGTTTAGGGGTTTTGGGGTTTATGGCTTAGGGGTTTAGGGTTTGGTGTTTTCGGAATTTCTGTGGAGCTTCCAGGCCGGTCCCTTCCCTGCCTGAGTCTTTCGAAGCGCTTCGGACCAGGCGTTGAAGGACCGAGAGCCTCCTTTCATGGGATGTAAGACAGTGCAGGGTTCTCAGAGTCAGTACTATTTTTGCGGGTTCCTTATGAGATTTATAGTATAGTGGGCCCAAAAACCCGGTGTGACAGGGTGCATTGGCTTTTACTGTTTGCCCGATCGTTTCAGTGTCGGCTCCTTCGAGCTAGGGGAGACATTGGGCCCCAAGCTCCACTGCCTGTAGAGCTTGGGTTTAGGGTTTAGGGTTTAGGGGTTTAGGGTTTAGGGGTTTAGGGTTTAGGGTTTAGGGTTGATGAGGGCTTTAGCACACGACCTTCGAACCCGGAAGAAGGCCGCAAATGGCTTCCTTGGCCGGTTCGCCAGTCAGGACGTTGCGACGACGCAGCTCCTGCCCAAGCGTCGCATTCCAGGAAATGCTTCAAGGTCTTGGACGCTGAGGTGCTATGAGGCGCTAACCAACGACTCGCAGAACCTAAGCCAGAAAGCCCTAAACCCTAAACCCTGAAGAGTATCCAAAAATACCGACCCAGAAGTCTCAAATGCCTAGACTGATGGGCCTGGTCGTTCCATTCACGGCAATCACGTGCGCGACGCCTCGGCATCCAACGGGAAGGCTGCGTCGGACAACAAACTGAGGTTTCAGGAACGACCATTCCTTCATGACACTCTGCTTCCAATCCCTTCTTTCTGTCTCAGTGTTGGGGGAAGTTGTCCTTTCGTTGCTTGCGTCCCGTTACAGGCAGTACCATGCAAGCTTCACCTGGCAATTGAGAGCCTACAGGACGATGCCGTCTCTTCAATCTACTTCATCCCGCCAATGATCAAGCCTCATGCGCAACTCTGCAACGCTTTTCCGAAGTCGAAGGACTTCTGTGGCGAACTTTCATGTGACCAGCGCCCCAACCTGCCGGCACAGCTCTTTTTTCTCCTCCGTCAGAGTCGGCTGAAGGCAGCGGCGCGGCGCCGAGCTTCCGGGTCGGAGGGCCTTGCTTGGCAGGGCTATGACAGAGAACCGAGGGGATGTGACGACCTGGCATCGAAAGGAATAGCATCCTCGGTGCAACCTACGGAGCCACATACAAGTGGCAAAATCAGGCGCCTTGGAATGAGCTGTTCCAGGCCAAGGACCCTTTGCCCCCACCACCGAAGGGTTGCGCGCGGCTGCAATGGTGGTCTGCGAGGTCCTGGAGGTACTCCTGCTCAACGTCTTGCAGATCCACAAGAAGTATACATATGCATACACGATGTCTACTACTACTACTACTACTACTACTACTACTACTACTACTACTACTACTACTACTACTGATACTACTACTACTACTACTACTACTACTACTACTACTACTACTACTACTACTACTACTACTACTACTACTACTACTACTACTACGACTCCTCCTCCTACTCCTACTCCTACTCCTACTCCTACTCCTACTCCTACTCCTGCTCCTACTCCTACTCCTACTCCTACTCCTACTCCTGCTCCTCCTACTACTACTACTACTCCTCCTGCTGCTGCTGCTGCTGGTAGTACTACTACTACTACTACTACTACTACTACTCCTGCTGCTGCTACTACTACTACTGCTGCTACTGCTACTGCTACTGCTACTGCTACTGCTACTACTACTACTCCTACTCCTACTCCTACTCCTACTACTACTCCTACTCCTACTCCTACTCCTACTCCTACTCCTACTCCTACTCCTACTCCTACTCCTACTACTACTCCTACTACTACTACTACTACTACTACTACTACTACTACTACTACTACTACTATTGCTGCTACTTGTGGTAGTATGACCATTACAAAGGCCATAACCAGGAACCTTACTGCTGATATAGCAGTTACTCTTGCTAATACTGTGGCTATTTCCGCTACTGTAGCTGCAAGGGCCCGTTTCGAAGGCTCAGCCTAAACCCTAAAACCGCCACAAAGTCTCCCTCTCTCTCAGCTTCAGTCCTCCAAGTCTTCTGCCAGGTGAAGTACGGCCTCACCCTGCAGCTGCGAAAACTCCACGTTTTGCATCAAAGGATGAACCCACACAATGAGGCCTTGCACGAAATCGAGCTGAGGTGTGCAGGGTAGTCGTGGTATGGCATCACGTGCACCAGATGAAGCAGCTTCAAGCTTGCTGGAACACTCAAAGCAAGACATAGCCGCGCGCATTCCTCTGTCCTTTCCATGCGGCCTAAATGCTGAGGAATTAAGTGTATTGGGACGCCGGTGTCAGGCAGAATCAAGAGACTGCGACAAAGCAATCAAGATAATCAAGCCTTCGTGAGGAAAATTTCAAGCCAACTGCCGAAAGCATCTAGATTTTCATTTCCCTGGGACCCCAAAACCGAAAGTATTGCCGAACCGGCTGATGTCGGCCACCTACGCTTTCAAAGCGCTGTTGCGAGTAGTTGGTCCACTGTCTGCTTGCTGGGTATATATAAGCCTAGCATTCAAGTTTGACCAGGTGGAATAAAGCAGTGCAGAACCCCAGCAAGTCCAATGAGCCATGATCCCTAAGCCTAAAACCTCACGAAACCCTTGAATAGCAGCTTCAGGGACCTCTAAAGCACGATGACAAAACGCTGACAAACAGTTTAGAGCTGAAGGTTTAGGGTTTAGGGTCTTTCTTTAAGTGCACTGGCTCTTCACCCGTATGCAGAACTAACAGGGTTTAGGGTTTAGAGTTTAACCCTGCATGGCCGTGAATGTTGCCGGCGCATCGGGGGAGGCGAAGCGCAGAACCCGCCCCACGCGGCTGGACACGCAAAGCCTTTGCCGCGCAGGCTGCTTAAGATTACTGATGTATAGCACTAATCACTAGTGTCAATACTACTCATAATGCCAATTATTGAATGTGTTGTGTTATGATTATTCGTGCTATTAGTCTTACTATCATTCGTAGTATCATTATCAGTATCAGTGTCCGCATGAATATGAAATATAAGGTCTAACTATCATTAGTATCAGTATCTGTATCGGTGTCCGTATGAATATGAGATATGAGATGGCAACGTCAGTATCAGCAACAGTACCAGTACTGGTACCAGTATCAGCATCAGCATCAGAAACTTTATTGGCATTAGGAAAGCATTAATATTCGTGCTAGCATTCGTATTAGTATTCGTACTGGTGCTACTAATAGTACTCGTATGGCTATAACCGTTAATGCTGGCATTAGCAAGCATTAGCATCAGCATCACCATGACTATTCGTACTAGGATTAGGATAGGTATTGGTACTAGTACCAGTATTAGCATTAGCAATTATAAAAGTATTTGCACTGGCATCAGCAAGCACTAACATTAGCATCAGCATCACCATCAGCATTAGGATAAGGAGAAGGATTAGGATTAGGATTGGTATAGTACTCTTTCAGGATTAGCATGAATAGTACTGACATGTACTGACACTGTGTGCCGGGGAACAGGGTGGACGTTTGAGCAAGATTGCACACGAAGATTTGTACAGTCTTGCCATCTTGGTCCACTTGAACTGCTTGCAGCATGCACAACTTGGGGGCAGGGCGGGGAGGGGAGTGCAATCTTGGTCATCTGGCCCATCTTTGCCAAAAACCACTTGCACCACTTGGGAAGGGGGGAGGTGGGGGGAAATCTTGATCATCTTGCCCAGCTTGGCCAGTGAACCCTTGCATCTGCACCACATGGGGACCAAGATGGGCAAGAGTGGCAAGAGTCGGCAAGAGTTCGTCCCAAATAGCGGCCCAGGTTTCCAAGCACAATGCACTGTTAGTATTCGTATTCGCGCCCCCTGGACTGAGTCTCGGACGACACGTGCAGCTTCTTAGCATAACCAATAGGGATCCAGGTTGGATCATACCTGAGGCAAAGCTCTGCATTTAGGGGTTTGGGGGTTTTGAGTTTAGGGTTTAGGGTGGACCCAAACACAAGAAGATATGTCTGAAAAAAATTTAAGTAGGGTTATAATTAGGGTAACTATACTTATAACTACTTGTAACCCCAAGCTGAGGAAGATGCCCCGAGCTCTTCCACCAGCGCTGCTGCGTTTCGTGGCTGGCAGACTCTCCTGGGATGAAACTTGTGCAGGTATTCAGGTCAGCAGTATGAAGGCTCCTTCTAATAAGGGTGCTGTATAGGGTTCTATAATAAGGTTCCTTAAAGGGATCTAGAGGGCTTCTATAATGGGGATCATGGGACTTAGTAAGGTTATAAGTACCTTAATTGGGGTTATAAGTAGTTATAAGTACAGTTACCCTAATTATAACCCTAGTTACTAAGTCCCATGATCCTTTGACTTGCGGTTCAGGATTCCTTGCCGTCTCGCGATAACTTCTGCATCTGCACAAGCCGTGCTCCGCGGTGAGTCTCCCTGTGAAGACAACGGCTTTCGGTCTGAAACAAGCCCTAATTTTTGAACCGGAAACCCTGAACCAAAAACCAACTCGGTAACGCCAGGCTCAAGTTCCTAGAACCAACATCGAGATCCTACGGTGTCTAAGTGCCGGACTCCAGTAAAGCGAGAGGTCGCGGCATTCCTTCAAGGAGAGAAATTTCCTGGCTCGATGGGGGTACAACGCAAAAAAAATACATTCTCACAGGCAAAGGGGAGAAGGAGAAGACAAACCCAAGAGCAAGAGAAAGCTGTCAGCAAAACTCACGACAACGACGACGACGAAGGCACAGCACGCAATGACAAGGATCTCGGAACACGAAGCTGCAGGTTGCCAGTAAATACTTGTATGGAAGACTAAGAATATAGTAAGAGAATACTACAGCAGGGTTGTCGGCATAGCCGTGTAGCAATACAGTATCGCAACACAGAATTCAGCATGCTTGGCGATACCCCGCCATCCCCCATTGACATCGAAACATGTCTGAATCACAGTGCTTTGTTCTTTGGCACCATAAGCAGACCTGCAAGCCCGCGACTTCACGGCAGAAGAGGGCTCCGTGTGCAGCTGCCTGGCGTCTCTTCCTTCTGTCCATCTGCCAGCGCAAAGAGCTCCCGCAAGGGCGCCGGGAAGGCCAGCTTCAACCTTCCAAGCGCAGAGCCCCAAAACCCGAAGGCCAAGCAGCAAAAGCAAGAAAGCCAGGAAAGCAGGCGATGGGACGTGGCTTCTTCTCCCAGCCTCTCCTCAACTGCAGCTATTTGCTCCGGCTCTGCACCTGACGCCGAGGCTTCGAAGCTTTGGGGAAGTTCTCAGCTCTAGTCTCGCACCCCGGCGAGTGGCGAGTGGCGAGGCGAGGAGCAGACGACACAGTCGTGATCAGGGGCTAAGATGCCCTGCCGAAGGCAACCGGCTGCATTTTTCGGCTCTTGCGCAGTAAAGGTACGCAGCGGCGTCGCGACAGGAACATGGAGGGCAGAAACTGTACATTTCTTCAGGGACTTACATTCCTCTACACGGCTCATCGCCGAGCTGTCGCAAAGCTCGCCGCAGTCATCAGTCACCATACTCTTCCACCTGTGAGACAAGGTTTGAGGCAGAAAGAGACAAGGGGCATATATACATATGTATATATATATATATATATATATATGTATATGGTACCCCCCCCCTCCGGTACCTACCTTTTCGGTGTTGTTATCAATACTGTAGGCTTACACGTGCACGTATATTTATATATATATATATATATATATATATATAGAGCCCCTCAACCCCAAAACTGGCAAAGTTGCAGAGCGAGCCTTGTTCAGGAGGCATGGATCTTTCTTTGAGCAGTCTCGCTTCTCGTCCAAGCAGGGCCGGCAGTCTTCGAACCCTTCCTTTGAGCAGCACTTCCTAAGTCGAGGCTGCAGCTGTATTGAAAAATTGTATGTATATATATAAATATATACATAATGCACAGGTACGTGTGCTTATGTATGGATGTATGTATGTATGTCCGTATATATGATTAGATTTGTACCAAAGGCTTCCGAGGTGCATCCAGGCCGTGAAGTGAGTTAGGGATTTGTCGCAAGAGTTGTATGCGATTTTGGTCTTCTTGCAGATGCATTTGGCTCCGTCAACGCAATCTTGTCCCACTTGAGCAGCAGGGCTCCAACCTGCGCTGTTCTCAAGAGCCGTTCACAGTAAGACGGGCATCTGTCTGCCTGTTAAGACTCAAAGAGACAACTCTCGCTTTCCGACTCTTTGCGACAATCTGTCCGGAAACAGCCAAGTAGCAATCTGGTATGCCTGTTATTGGCCTCAGCTTTGTGCCACTGATGCTGCAGCTACATGGCACCACTAGTACCGACTGAGCCACCGCATGCTAGAGCATCGTTTGAAAACCGAGGTATCTGCAATGTTGGGGATATTAACTACAGTCCTCGAGAGAGTGCAGGGCCTAACAGTGCAACCAACAAATCCAAGCGGCTTTTGGCACTGCGAACAATATCTGTAGTGCCAGTACCTGTACCTCGGGCGAGGTCGTCTGCCGTGCTGCACTGGGAATGAAACTAAGACCATGGTAAGGCTCCGGCTCCCCTCTCCACGCGTGGTATTCGCACCAAAAGCTGGCACTTGGGCACTTCCGGTTGTCATCCCCGTACTCCGGTCGGATCTTGCTTTGATATCGCACTTCGGTGCACGAAAAAGTGTCGTTCATCGCCGGGCGGACCTCCCAGAAACAAACGAAGCTACAGACTCCGGCCGCTGCCACGCGCCTTACACCAGGTCCCGACATGCCCCAACTCCCAACAGCTCCCTTGCGCAACCTGGCATGCAACCAAGGCGCGGCGAGGGCTTCATGAACGAGAAGGGCGAGCAACCCAAGTTGGGCAACCAAGGCCACCATGGTGACTCGGCGAATCGGGTGCTGGTCAAACAACGAAGCTCTGAAGTCAGGAAAGGAGGCGCTCGCTTGAGCCAAACTGAAGTCCAGGTCAGGAATCTCAAGGAGAGCTTTCTTATGCAGTAAAATAAATTGATATAGAAAATTATAGTATAGTATTTTATAGTATGCCATAGTAATAGTATAACCCTAAACTTCCTAAGCCCTACATGCTCTCCCGGCCGGACCGGCTTGGGCAAAGGCAAGCCTGCATTGAAGCAGTCTCCGAGAAGCGATGGGCGAGCTTTGCCTGATAGCAGACACGAAACTCACCATGAAATCGGATCTGCACTGAGGAGCCATGTGCCTTGCTTTTATGCTAATAGCAGCAGTAAACATAGCAACAATAACCATTGCAATGACAACAATAACTACTATTGATATATTGAAAATGGCAGCCACAGTAAGAACAGTAGTAACTGTACTAATACTAACATAATACTAATAACAATACTTTTGCTATTGTTAATCCTAATAATAGTAATAGCAATACCGTAAAAATAAAATCAAGACGGATGGCCTTATCTCGCTCTCCCCCAGCAAACATGCAAAGACAAGAAGTCAATTGCAAATTGTCAACACCTCAATTGGCATCATTCTTTCCAAACTTTCCAGGAAGCTGGCTGTTGGCGAAACCACCTGAGTTCATGTACTCAACCGCACCATCTTGGAAAAGACCTCTTCCAATGACCAAACTCAAACTGAATCATAGATCCGTTTGAATCATTGAACCTTGCCAACTCAGACCAGAACCTACGAAGCAAGCACAAAACTGCAGCACTGCACGAGCCGGTGCAAACACAGATGTGAGATACATGGATGTACAGAAACACAGACCATGCCTGCAAGCCGACAGATAGATAGACAGACAGCCAGCTCGGCAGACATGTCTGCATTTCATGTGTAATGTATGTCTATATGTATGTATGTATATATGTATATATGCATATATGTATATATGCATATATGTATATATGTAGATGCATGTGTATACATGTATACATATACACGTATGTACAAATGTAGATATGTGCCAACGTACTCGTACACTAAACGTATGCGTATGCATATACATATAGATTTAGATATGTATACACGTATATGTACATACATATATACATATATACATATACTGTAAATAGCTGTACATAAGCAAACACACACACACACATATATGTGCAAATAAGTATGTGTATGTGTGTATTTTTCGAGAATGTACGTATGTATATATGTATGAGTGTATGTACGTGTGCAATATAGATGCGCATGTATAGATATACCAATGTTTATGCACATGTATATAAAGTTAACACAGGCATGTATTCACGTAAGCAAGCCCACATGCATGCATACACATGCACCAAACTGGCTTCACCTGTGCATGCGAACATGCATGCACCAGTTATAAATACAGCTATATACACATGCAGGCAGCTACTTATGCATGTAAAAGCGTTTGCAGGCTTCTGTGCCGGCATAAGTGCAAAGCAGTCCATGATTTGCTTTCTTGACAAGCATGCGATGTCCACACGTTTACGGATGCATGCTACACAAAAAATGCAGAGTCTTGAAAACAAAAGTAAACATACATATGCTCATGAGTATCAACATGAATACACACACATAAACACAACAATCTCCATATATATATATATATATATATATATATATATTTTATGTGGGTATATACACGGATATGGGCATACATGTTTGCATCATGTGTATGTACGCGACTCTTAGTTTGAACATACGTCCATGTACCTCTCTGTTCAAGCCTCCACTAAGGTATCTGAACTTTTCTTTGCATCTTTCTGTTCCTTCTATGCGGGGATACACACTAGTCCCTGCACAGATGCACTGTTAAAAGCATTCTGATATGCATTCGCACACACATACATACGTACATACGTAAATATATGCATAAATACATAAAAAAAATCACATACACACATACATACATTGATGCGGGCCCTCACACAAATATCTCGCTGCGTGTGATTATGTCTACACATCTCGAAACTATTGTTCATGTGTAAACATCTATATCTGTATATGTATGTATTATATATATATATACATATAGGTATAGATACAGATATAGATATATCTATAGGTATATATAAATATACATATGTACATATGTACACTGGCCAAGATGAGCACACTGACTACGCACATATGTGTTCAACACTCACGTTGATACGCTTTCATTCGCAACTATGGAGGTACATGCATACACTGCACAAACACAGCTATCTATCTGCATATGTATATATATATATATAGAGAGAGAGACCTGTCTATGTCTACACATTTACTTATATATATATATATATATATGCATGCATGCACATGCGCATATATTTCCATATATATATATATATATATATAGATATATATATATATAATATATATATATATATATATATATATATATATATTACGTGCGTGTGCGCGCGTGCATAAGCATGTGTAGGTGTCTGTACTGTGAGTTCTCGTCAGGATCTCCATGCTCAAATGTGCCAGCGTGCCCATGCATGCGCCTGCGTGCTTTCACCCATGTCGGCATATGCCAATATTCCTATGTATGCCTCTATCTTCGGCTGTGTTTAGATTGACTTGCTGTCGTTTGATCAACCAAACCAGCCGGGCGCAGGCATCGAGCACATTCGACAAGTACTTGAATCCTGCATGCCTTCGCTTCAGCAGCCGCACGTATCTTTAGAAGGGCGAGTACACCAGCCGAGACCCGAACTGGAGGCGCCCCTCAGCCTTGATCCGGACAGTGCAGGCCGAATGTATGGAGTTCGGGCGGGTGGGATCGAGAAACCCACCTTGCGGAGTGCAGCTCGGCAAAGATCGTGCGCACCTCAGCACAACGTAGGTCGTCTGCCAGAAGACAAGCAGCCCCAAGGCAGCACCTACAGCCTACAGCAGTGCAACTCTTGACTCTGGCGCACGACGGTCGCACACCTACGTGGGCGCACAGAACGCTACGCAAACGGTCCGCAAAGATCTTACAGGGTTTATGGTACTCTTGAGTCCGGTTGATATCTATGTGGCGCCCGATCCCCTTGCAGCTCGGGCACACGGCTGGCCGGCCTAGGCTTTCCAACAGCAGTACAATCTTGTTGCGATCGGCAATGTTAGCGGGTCAGCTACGCGGCTTCATTCTATATCACCGACACACATTGGAATGCAAGAGTAGAATACTTATCACTGCTAGACATGCTGCTACTTTGCTTGCTGATTGTGCAACCATTAAGAATTCCGCCTTTATTGCCACGTTCGCGGTTCAACTGTCTCTCCTACTTACAGCTATGATGACCGGCTTCACCAATCATTGGAGTAGCACTATACTTGCATGTAATGGCTTTTTATGTTGATACATCCGTTACCAGGCGCAGCAGTGCTATCAAGCCAGGACCTCGTATTCACAGGTCGTCCAGTGCTGTCTGAGGCGTCGACGCGGCCATCTGGACTTTACAGCTGAGGATGAGGACAAGCGCTGTTCATGCTGCTGTCAAGCCGTTCTGTGAGTGAGAGTTCCAGTTTGGCATCAAGTCTCCCGAAACTCCGGCATGCACAAAGAAGAGCACTGAATGATTCTAGAGACAATCAAGGTGGACCTGTGTCAAAGCTTTAGGAGAGGAACAACCTGAACCGGAAGCTGCGGCAAAGACTGATTATGCCAGTGGTCACATTGGCGCTGCCCTGCAAGTTCACGGCATGCTGCCAAACGGTTCAAGCTGAGCGGACGGACCCTGGTGAGCAGTGCATTGCGTCTCCTCGCCTCCTGACATGCAGGAATGCTGAAGCGATACTATAATATACTATACTATAACTACTATAATAGACTATAATATACTATACTATAATTACTATAACATGCTATACTGTAACTACTATATTATACTATACTACAGATGACTGTAGAGCCTGCCCTAGCCTGCCTCGTGCAGCTCGAGATAGCGGGCACGGATCAGATCCCCCAGAAGCCGTGCTGCAAGCTGCTCACTCGAGCCAAAACAGACGGAGCGTTAGGGTTCAGGGTTTAGGGTTTAGAAGTCCTATCCCATGTTGACTGGGCAGCCTCCTGTGCCCTTTCTGCTGTCTAGGCAAGAGGCCCAATGCTTCGTCCGTCTCGCTTGCACGTCACTGCGAGAAGACACTTTTCCTTTGCTGGTCACTTCGTCTTGACTTCACCTCCTCCCACAGGGATCTGATTTTGGATCGCCTTGGCAAAGCGCCAGAGGTACTTGCGCCTCACTTCCTGCTCAAGGCACGAACATTCCGTACTCACTCGAGAAGCGTCCACGAAATCTAGTGCAAACAGAAAACCGAATCGATAGGGCTCGGTCGCTGTTGCTTGCATGCTCGGCAGCATGGATGCATGCACATATGTCATATGTATTGCCATCTGCAAAATGATAGCGTTCTTCTGCTTTGCACTGACCAACATACAGACACACCCGTCTCGTGCCGTAGTGACTTGACCGACCTCATTGACTTCCGGAATGTCCCTGCAGAAGCAATAACAAAGACAAAATGCAAGTTGTCATGTTGTGCAAACAGCTGAACCTTAAGGTGCGGGGGGGACAGGGTGGACCAGGGGCCTCACTCCCCACCTTGTACAATAGCGCTGCCACCTTGTGGTGGGGTGGGCCCTCCTTAGTGCCTCTGAATCCATCATTTGCGTGTTGGCGCCTGCCCCCCCTAACCTCCCCTTAGCTATTGTGACAGGACCAGATAGGTTCTGGGTCCTGGACACGGTTTTGACATAGTTCCTTACTACCTACAGTAAGTTAAAACTAAACGGCAACTCCTGCAAGCTCCACGGAGCTAGCTTTCGTGAAAGCTTGGAGACATGCCTGCTTCGCTACACAATGCACATTCGTGGAGTTTGCTTGATGATGCTCAGAGGCGTCGCTACAAACCCACCCTCCTGCGATTTCGCGTACGGC